CATACTGCACGGTTCTTACAGCCTATATTGTTAAGATGTTACTACCATTTCCCATCTCCCTCAGCTTTATGGGTTTGCTCATTCATTACTATCCTTACAGCCCTTTGTTGGGTCCTAGCTTTTATTTTGGTTTGTAATATTTTTACACAGACTGTAGGACACACTGGATGAGTGATCAGCCCGTCGCAAGGTCACTACCTGTACAAAAACAACACAATACACAGATTAAAAGCACATACTGACATCGATGTGTTGAGTGGGATTCGATCCCACGATCACAGCTTTCGAGAAAGCGAAGACAGTTCATACCTTAGACCGCGCGACCATTGTGATCGGCTTTGTTGGTTTGAAGGAGACATAAATATGTAACTAGTCCAAATAATTTGGATCGTGGAAACATTTGAAGCTAATGAAAGTGGTGGTAACTGTTTCAAACCTATGACAAGCTCATTACACTCTCGCCATCGGAATAGGAGACGGAGCTAGATAGAATTTCGGGGCTTCTCGTAAAATGTCCATTACATTTGTGTGGATAGATTTTTAGTAAAATTCCCCAGTATAAACTCTCGCGGGAATATATTCAATGAGAGTTGTGTTACCTCAAAGGGAAAAAACGGAGAAACACAGGCAGGCACGTAGAAGTTAATAGACATATTTTTTTTTAGTTTCTGCGAAAGTGCCTGCAGAGCCAAACACAGGTGATTTTGTGCTGTATCTAATTGTCTATAATAATTCATCGAACCTTCTTTCCACCTTTTACAGGTCTGGATATAGCTATAGTATATGAAAATGTAACTTTGCTATCAGTAGTACCTAAATGTCCTGCTTCTTAGAGCGGACTGAACAGAGAACACTCAAATATTTAAAAAAAAATATGTGGCCTGTACTAAGCATTTGTGGTACCTCAGTGTACAATGGCTAATCTGTCTCTGTTGATGGTTTGTAATGTGTTTCTCTAATTGCATTGATTTACTTACTTACTCCGTGGCTTTAAGATCCACTAAGAAACTTGACCTCCTTTGCAACGAATGCCCATTGATGATTAATCATAATTTGCCTCCATATCTTCCATTTCATCCATGTAAATCATTCTCAGTATTCTTCAGCCATCTCAATGTGAGCCTTCCCACTTTTCTTCAACCTTTTCTTTAACTCCGAGAAGCTAGTAAATATTGTGACATGTAGACCCAATGCTGCACAACGACCGCGAGATGGGCAAATACACAATAGCGGTTTCTGAGTAACGGCTTCGCAGACAAACATGTCTCCACGGTAAAAGTTGAACTACACCAACGAGGAACGGTGTTTTCTGTGCTGACCGTACCGATATTATATAAACAGGTTAGTTAGAAAGTTAGCCAGTCAGTTGAGTTCAGTTAGTGAGTTAGTAGTTAGTTAGACTGCTGGGGTTCAGTCGTTGTGAGCTATTGTTGTTAGAAGCTGGTAGCTGAGGCCGGGGACAGTTTTGGAATGCAGAGGGAGGGGAACATCAGCCTTTGAAAGCCGCTACCGAGCAACGGCAAGGGAAGACTGAGAACACTTCAGGTGTGCTGTGGTGACAATGACCTTTGGAGTGTGTAACTCAATGGAACAATGGGGCTGATGTAGTCATTTGTAGTTAAGTTCTGTAAATCCGATCATCTATGCAAAAGCCGTCTCAAATCATACTCTATCACGTGACAATATTGTAGTCAAGGACATTTTTAACTACATCTACAATTCAACATATTATTCATATTATTATTATTATTATTATTATTATTATTATTATTGTTATTATTATTATCCGTCAGTATTGTGAAAGAAAATGATTCTCTGTGATTGAAATTTGGTATTGAAATATCTGCTTGAGAACATGAGGCAGTTCATACAAGCGATGTACTCGAACGCTTGCATGAAATTTACTGCTCACTTGTAATACGTTCTTATTTATATATTTCGGAATTCTGTCTTAAGTGTGTGTTTTATTTATGTCGTGAGAAGTTATGTCCATTTGCATACTAATATGTGCCAATCTTCCTTTTGCCAAAATTCTTTGCCATGTGATAATACAGATCAATGTGCAGAACTCTTTTCGCTTGTGAATTGTCGCTTTAGTTTGTATCGGTTATGACGTGAAAGCTGGTGTCAGCACTTGCCAGTCACCGATGTAGGGAAGAATCAGGTTTAATTATGTTTAAATTAGTTAATTCTATAATGTCATTTCAGCATCTGTGAAATATTCTAAAGAACCATGAAATACAGAGACGCGATGAATTCTCCTGTAATTAACAACATGTTTGTTTTTCCGCGAATTTCTAAATTTTATTTATTGTTTGTTCTTATGGGTACGACTGTCTAGCAGGTGATGTTTCTTCACCTCATCAGAATTACAAACAGTTCCTTTGGGAACTCAGATGACTGACCCCATTTTCTGAGTTTCCGTTATTCATCTGGTGGCATGCGGTAGCGTAGTTTACTGACGCACAATGTTACAAGGCGGAAGGTCGCGGGTTCCAGTACCTATGAAGTACATTTTTTTCATATGACCTAATCCTTCCAGCCGCACTATGGCCCTGGGGTCGACTCAGCCTCTACCAGAAATGAGTACCAGGAATCTTCCTGGGTGCTAATCGGCGACCGGCGCGATAGGCTCACATACTTACATCCTTCTGTGAGCCGACTGCCTACAGAAACTGTGGGAGCCTCGACGTCTCACAACCCTAAGCGCCTTCACGGCCTGTTACAGGGATAGCTTTAACTCTCCTTTCTTTTAACTTCCATTTTTCGTCGTGTCTTGTCTCGGGTTTTCGTTTCCTTAACTGATTTTTTCTGACATATTTTTTTTTTCATGTTACCCTACTGCAGCGTATTTTCAGCTGTTTTCACATTTCTTCTGCACGTGGTGGTGATTTGTACGCTTCTCACTGGCGCAGTCAGTGTGTCGGTCCCTAGGAATGCAGGCGGAACACGGAACAGGGACGACGGCGTAGTACCACTGCGCAAGGTGCTTCAGAGTGATGACATGCTGGGGCATCCTCTCTTCTGCCCCAACAGTAGTTTCCGTACATATTCAGAATTTACTTTCAGGGTATGCTCGAAAAACGGAGTAATTATACAAGACTTGAACACTGATTCATAAAAGAAATACCCATTGATTCTACTGTGTTGTTGGTTCCTTCTTAGGTCTTCAATTTTCAGAAAATTGTTTATATTTATGCAGGGTGTGACTTTATTAACGTCCTCCCATCAGACAACGCGGCTCTGGTTAGATAGATATCCTTGGTGATAAATCGGCCGGAGCGTGAAATTGACTACGGAACGCCGTCAACGACAGAAGTTAGGAATGCTTGGAGGTATGCCTTTGTTGTCTCATACTACTTAATTAAATAGAGCTTGTTTAAAAGACAGAGACAATTTAGGCCTCTCTTAAACTTCAGACATAGTTAGACTTATTAATCAAATTTTTCCGTATTTGCTAGATTTGTTGTTTAATGCGTGAAATCAGACTGCGTGTAACAAATGTCCAGCCTGCGTTATACTAGAAATCCTTCAGAAGCCTATCCAAGATTTATCTGACAGTCCCTGCTGACGTTCCCTCTCCTTGGAATGATGTTTCAGACATTCGATAGCCCCTCGTATTTTCCTTCAACGCCCATTCCACATTCTCTCCCATGCCCGTTTATTTTATCACGTCCCTCCATCTGTGGAGTTCCATCACTGGATTATCTGATTTATCGTATACTTTCCCGTCCTCTTCATTTACCCTCATTTGCCCCAATATCTCAGCCTTTACACACATCAGAGTTTTGTTTCTTTCATTAACTTTCCCGTTGAAATTAAATTCGGCGAGACTGCTTACAGATTGACACTCCTTTTATCATCCACGTGTCCTTATTACTTGTATTGTTAGCGGAAGTGACTTCTCGTACAGTTAATTATTTTTAGTTCTCTTAATGAATGGTTGAGTCCAGTTGGGTTCAATCGGAACGGATGCCACTGATTGGCCTATTGTGCCTGCCCTGGGTGATTAAGATGGAGAATTTAGTGGAATGAAGATTGGCAGGGGAAAGCGAAGTGCTAGGAGAAAACCTACCCCAGCGCCACTTTGTCCATCGCAAATCGCACTTGACCAGACCCGGATTTGAACTCGACCAGCCGTGGTGGGAAGCCAGCGACTAAGCCCTTGAGCATGGCGCTGCCAATTCTCATACATTAGTGGAACTTAAAGGACAGCATACTCTTTCTAGGACTCTTCATACTGACCTAACCTTCACGTATTTCACTGCTTTAACACAAACCAGGGTGTAGCTACCGTGAGATTATGCTATAACCATATTTGTATTTGGGAAAATTTCAATAGAGCTCCTAAATTAGTTTATTTTCTTTAAACTGCTGTTTATAATTTGTCTACTGGATGAGACCAGTGGGCGCGAATAGCAGCAGCTGTTGAATTTGCTCTAAAACCCGCCAGTGAGACAATCCAAGGATCTACATTTCTTGTACGTACCTCAATGAATATTCATATATTTAGCAGCAGCTGGAAGGAGCAGCTGACTTGCTTTATTTGATCGCTGAGAATTTACAATTATATTTTAGAAAGCCGACCTTGTACACAGTTATATAATTGTACAGAACTATTAAGCTTATTTTGGACTCTATCCATCGTCTGGTATATATATAGGACAAAAGCCATAACGTTTAGGAGACTGGATCTGTCTCCGTCCTCAGGTGGATGGGGCAGGATAGACCTACTCAGTTGGGCCCGTTAGAAATAGCTAGTCTCAATCACTGGACGCAGACAGATCCAGTCTCCGAAACGTTGTGGTATTCTGTCTTATATATACCCAGACAACGGATACGGTCTAAAATAAGCCTTATAATTCTGTACAGCATACACAATTGTCAGAATCCTTTAAAGTTATATAATTGTTTGCTAATTGGGAAGAAAAGTACAAAATTAAGGACAAATTTATTATTATAAGCTTCGAGAAAATTATTACACAATAAATTCGGCACCCTATGTTTGTCTAAGTAAGTGGCCTCCCTTTCGCGTATGTGCTTCAACGGTCAGAGTTTCCAGATTACACGAGTAAAAGAGGTCTGTAGTTGGGGCTTGCACGAGTTTTACAGTTTCCTTGTGATACTGGTACTGAGTTTGGCTTCACAATTATCAGCATTGATTCTTTGGTTATCCCGGGTACGCTGATCTGCTCTTGTACTTCTGCACATCTTACGTTCGCTTTGCAAACCAAAACGAACTGGTTAAAGGCGTTTGTCTCCGCCTTTGAATTTTCCACCCGTTGTTAAGCTTTCCTTTGTTACGACCATACAATCTCCCATGAATTCGACTGCTGTGCCCGGGACCATTTGATTATTACTCTTCTCCTCTGTTGCAGCCTCCTGACTGAGTGACCATTTTGAAAGTGTCGTGGAATTACCACTACTGGATAGGGAATTAAAACCAAGAGCAAATATGGAAGTCTACTATGTGTATTTTCATTATATTTCAATGGTACCAAAGTAATTCTAGGTAAAATATAATTCTTCGTTCTTTGCCTTCCTCTAGAGTTGTCTTTACATTTTTGAAACGTTGTCAGGAAAGAAGAAATGGAAGATTTTTTTAATGTATGAGGAATTACACCATGAGGAATGCCCACCGATGTTTCTGAGGAGTATATCGCCTTCATCTTCAGGGTCGAAGAATAATCGACGAAGGAAACTAGCCTGAAGCAGGTTGCAAGAAAGCTCTGTTTCGTACCAACTTCACGCCAGTTTGGGTTACCTTTAACCTTGAAGACGGAGGTGATATGTTCATTGAAAACGTGGGTTAACTTCCAGCGAAGTACATTGCGTTATATTCCACAAGATAGAACTCTTCTACTGGATTAAGGTTTGCTGTTAGGGGCGAGTTCTTTACAAAACAAAATTTAAGTTTCCTACAAGTTGAATAAGAACAGTTCCACTTTTCATGGAGAATAATAGCAGACTTGTACCCAGTAATGCCGACAAGTCTGTATATTTGCGCTGCTATATGAATCCAGGCCATCGTTACTATCTTCTGATGCTCCACTTTGAATACGAGAAGAGAATTTTTGTGTAGATTTGTTTTCTTGGAAATGAGGTTTTTCCTTGGAAGAGTAGGAAACGCTGCTGCCTTGTAATCATCCATTCCAATTCCATCCCTTCCTTCACTCTCCTGTAATTTAGCTTCACTCTTCCTCATCCCTTGTCACCTATTCCTCTATCATCACACACCGCCTCTTCATGTTGAAAGGGGAATGTCTCGTCTTTTTCCTCTCCTTTGCACGTTTTCAGGAACCTGCTAGAACCGACAGTAAACCAGGACCTGCATAAACAGAGTAAGAAAATAAATTAGAAAATGAAGAAAGCAGTCTTCTGGGATTTGGCACCGTGTATATGTGGTGTTCACCGACGTTTCGGAAGAACGTATCGCCTCCATCTTCAGGGTAGAAGGAAAAATATAAGAAATCCGCAAGCGAGGAGACCGTGAGAACCGGTGAAAGCAGCCTGCTTTTACCGGTTCTCATGGTCTTTTCGCTTGCGGATTTCTTATATTTTTCCTTCTACCCTGAAGATGGAGGCGATACGTTCCTCCGAAACGTCGGTTAACACCACATATACACGGTACCAAATCCCAGAAGACTACTTTCTTCATAGTCACCGCCGTGAAAGCCTCAAATCTTACAAATTAGAAAATATTTTACTTGGCATATTTCTCTAGCGTATTTCAAACTGTTACACAGTTACTTGAGATCATAAGCCGTATCATGCACTTATTTAGCTTGGTGGGTGGTGGAGTCCAACTGGCTCCACTCGCCACGGCGGTCACCGATTGGCCTATTGTACCTGCCCCGGGTGATTAAGATGATGGAGAATTTTGTGGAATGAAGATTGGGAGGGGAAACCGAAGTACTCGGAGAAAACCCGCCCCAGCGCCACTTTGTCCACCACAAATCCCAATTGACCAGACCCAGGTTCGAACCCGGGCCGCCGCGGTGGGAAGCTAGCGACTAACCGCTTGAGCTATGGCGCGGCCTATCGTGTACTTGATGCTTATATGGTGTCAGCTCTCCAGTGTTTCAGATTAAGTCAATTAGTAGAAAGTGCAACTAAGCTGAATATTACACGCAAACTTACAGCTAACATTGGAGTATTTTAGTGTATGCTCTTGTATCAGCGTAAGAGATCACGGTTCGTACACATCAAACAGCAGCTAGACTTACTATTTCTTTTTTATTCACGACATATATAAATTTAGTAATCAGCTTATAGCTCTTCAAGCGGACAAACTGCACCTGCAGATTATTTTGGGCTCAGAACAGCAAAGAAAGCCGTGATAAATGACAACAATTTTTATTATAGTGTGAAGTGACAGTTTATTTAGGGCTCCTGTGATATATTCGTAAATTTTTCTGATTGAAGATATATGAATAGCCAAACTATGCAAAACCCCTATATGTTTCTCGCAACATCCAAACTCTGCAGGTAATTCAGTTCTCAAGAGAAGTCTTGAACATCCCTCTTTATAACGCTTCTCATGCTTCCGCACTGCTCCAGGACTTCTTATGACTGGACGAACTAAGTTTTAAAGACAGATTGTGAATGAGAACGGGAGGATGCGTTGAAGCCTATATAATGCATTACGGAAATATTCCTGAGCGGAAGAAAATAACTGCGACAGGATAGAGATCAGAGGTCCGAGAGCGCGCCTCACGTGTGAGCTGGACGGGCTAGTAGTGTACGCACGACACTGGAAACTACAAGCCAGGGGCGCACGGGAAACACATAGAAACAGGCACGCTCTGTGAAATTTGTATTAGCTCTTGTTACGACGAAAATAAAATGAACGCATAATGAAAAGTCTTGTCTGTTGACTTTACCGCTTGATTTTCTTTTTCGAAACTGCTCAACGGTTTTCAATAAAATTTTATATTGAGTCTTTTACACCAAAATTATCAGAAGAATTTAATTTCAGTTTGAACCAAATCATCTGAACTGCTACTAATGCATAAATTTCAGTTCGGATTTTACTCATCACCTCGAAACTTACACATCGCACAAGAAACGGGGTAACGGCATGACGTATATACAGACCTCGGCAGAATCCTGTATCTTTATTTCGCAGATCTGGTGAAGATTTAGTGGAATGCGAAGAATGTCACACTGCACAGCGGGAGGTCTGTAGCGCTTTGTAACAGTAGATTCGTGTCGCCTCCAATAGGACAAGCAAAACAAAAAAGAACGCCTTTCTATGTACTCCTGCAGTTACTGTAATGTACTTTTATTCTGAGCCAACTTGTCACTGAACGCATGCGCGGCCACACAAATGAAGGCGAATATTAGAAACGACTGCATTGTTTGAACACACAGCCGTGCTTCGCTAGTGCCACGGCGTGTAATAATAAAATTATAGTAATGAGAGAGGGAATTTCATTTCATCTAGATGTCAGGGGGCGTGTTGGGCTCGAAGTAACGGGTCAATGCATTACAATTAGATGACGACCCCAGCTAAGAGGGCTAGCTGAGAGTACAGACCGAGAAATGATATGATATCACATGAGTATAATAAAACAGAGGAATTCAAGCCGTCAAGCTGCAAAGGGAACGCGGAACACGGATCCGCACGTAATGCAGAAATTCCATAACTGTGTTGAGACTGTTTCAGAGCACTCCAACGTTGTCGGAGAATTTTCATTTCATGAATCCTGCTGTGTTACAATATATAGAACTTATTTATTTGACCGTCACAACACAATAATAAAAGAACTTCAAGGACAATGCCCAGATATAGTTCTGCTACATGTTTCGGCCACTAGTGGCCATCATCAGGCAAACACCCTTCAAAAAACGTACACCACTGAACTGCAGTACGCAAAATTTGATACAATGTCATAAATCATTTAAGATAATTTGCAATAAGAATACAATAAGTAGGTTATTTAAAACCAATAAAAGTCATATATAAAAAAACAAAATTAAAATGTGATTGATGTTTTATAACATCGAACCAGTCGTTGGTTCCACTTTACATACATATCCGTCGACAAAGAGTAAATTTCAATGTTTCATTATAAAAATGTATAGGAGGCACAATAATTAATGGAATAGTTGGAGCCTCATCGTACGCAGAATTGTACGTAATGTATGGGAGGTAAGCATACATTACGTACAATTCTCCGTACGATGAGGCTCCAACTATTCCATTAATTATTGGGCCTCCTATACAATTTAACTTTTTTTACTTTTACTTTAATTATGACAATAATAATAACAGGAATGCGTGTTTACTCTTAGGGAATCGGACCGTTTCCTGACAAGTTGAGGCCTCATTCGTCCAGTAGCCTCTTCTAAATGTTTCCCCGGTTTTTACCCCTTCCACAACAACAACAACAACAACAACAACAACAACAACAACAACAACAACAACAGGAGTAAGAACAATTTTATTTTCCTTACAAGTAACAGTTCTCGCCTTGTTCATGCGTATCTGAATTCCTGCATGTGTAAAATACTGCATTAAATTAAACATAGGAAATGCCATTTAGTGTATCCTGTGCCTTGTGGCCAGAATCACCAATGATAGACAGGAGTCCTCCCCGCTGCGATAAATCTCTAAGACGATCTGAGACATTCCTTGTGCTTCAGGCAACCCGGAGATACACTGGCTTGTTCACAAGAGCCCGCCGTTATACACTGTACTGAGCCAGATGAGTACCGTCCATATGCTCACGCCGAATTTCTCTAAGATCCTGTTTAATTCAAATCTTCCCCCGTAATGCAGGAGAAATTTACAGGGTACAGTAGCAAAATAAATTTTGTTAAATGTGGCTCAAGATTATACTTGTGATACAGTTAAGAATACGATAAATACGTGAACAAATTTCGGATTGAAATATTTCATCTACCCGAGTTTTACCTGAGGGTTATATTTAGAGACATATAACGTTACCCGTTGTATGGGTAACTTGATCTCCCCCGATGAGGGAAGAACTTCAGGATGCGTGAAGTATATTTCGAGGATAATAGTTGTATCTCAGAGAGAGAGAGAGAGAGAGGGAGGGAGGGAGAGAGACAGAAAATATTAAGATGACTGTGAAAGTGGCTCAAATTATTATTCACTAAACAGTGCCACATTGGTTAACCCAAAGGGGTTAGATGGCCGGCACGTGAAAAAGTAAGGGGGAAGTTGAGCATAGCATTTATAATTTCAGCTGGGAAATCTGTAGGGAAGAGATCCTTGTGTTGATGTTAGTATGAATCTGGAAAAGGTGGAATGGTCTGATTTGGCTCGGTTAATTTATTTCATTATTTTGTCTAAATAACATTGTTATGTGTCAAAGAATTGCCGGGCCACAGGTTTATCGTTGCGTAGTTGGTTGAGGCACTATGCTACAAACCAGAAAATGCTTGTTGGTGTTTGTAAAAAAAACTAGTGTACAGTTATTCTTGTCATAAAAATTGGTTTAAATAAAAATTCCCATAGGGGGCTGTGGAGTCCAGCTGGATCCACTCGGCACTTCGGCCATTAATTAGCCTATTGTAGACTGCCCCGGGTGAATATGATGATGGAGAATTTGGCGAAATGAAGATTGGCAAGGGAAACCGAAGTACTGGGAGTAAACCTGCCCCAGCGCCACTTTGTCCACCACAAATCCCGCTTGACCAGGCCCGGGCTCGAAACCGGGCCGCCACTGTGGGAAGCCAGCAACTAACCGCTTGAGCTATGGCGCTGCCTTTTACTTGTCTTAGGTTCTAAGGAAGTCAAATATAACATCGATTACATTCTTTCTTCTATTTTTCACTTCATCTTCTGACCATTTGGCACATTAATATTTATCGACCTAAGATATTGTGGCGTGCAAGGATCGTTATATGCATTATAAAGTTTGGTTATGGTATCCTAGTAACCAGAAGAGAGGATGAAACTTGGGAAGACGTAGGATTTTAATACAGTACACAGAAGATAAAGCCCCGTTTAGTGGTATACTGTTGTTCCTTTCTGAAAGATTAGGCAGTAAGGAGCTTAACACTACATTTCCTCTCTCACCGGTTTAATTTTCTTGTCTCCATTCCTGTCCCAAATTTGCGCGCAGATAGAAGCAGTGACACCGAAAAGGGTGTTTGGATTGTATTATTAATAACCATATCTCCCACAGCAGCAATGTCAGGATCTAGCGATAAGAACGGTGTAGTGAATACAGGTGAACAGAGAAGCAGAAAAGCAGGATCAGGGATAAACTTTGTAAATAACACTGTTTTGTTAACGTGTTGGCATTGGTTAGAAAGTGATAAATAATCCCTGTCGCCGCAGTTGCTTTTGAAATT